TAATTACTATATTATACAGGGTATCGCAAAAAAACTGTTATCACAATTTGATTGTTTATAAAGTGTTTATTAAATATCGTACGAATTTGCTTTCAATGTTTATAACGAATTACATTAACGTTTCTTTTTGTGGTAATATTTTTTGCAATACCTTGTATTTGGAATTTGTTCAATGACTTGTCTGATTGCTGCCTGAAATAAAAAAATTGTTATTAAATAGTTGGACTAATAATTTTATGAGATACACATATAACAAAGAAAGTCAATAATTTTCTGTGTAATAACAAACTTTGTCTATATTAATTTAACATATGCGATACGTTATAAATAAGATATTCGTACATCAATCTTGTACTAAAAATATTGTAATCAATGCCCTATTTCGCCACATATTAAAACTACTCTGTATATATTATTCATAAATAGAAAATACGTTTCTGTAATTTATTCATTGTGTTTTATTGAATAGAAATAAAATAGAATTCTATGGTGCATAAAGGTAACACCATATATTAACAAATTATTTGATACATTATATGATATACAGTGCATGCATTGATAATGTACTGTTTTGTACTATAATAAAGTTATACATTGAGTTACACGATAAGACTAAAAATTGAATTTATCTTCTTCATTCTCCCATCTTATAACTAATTTAATGTAATTTGGAAGTAGCGATGTTAAAATATAGATATAAATTTATCATTTATTTTATACATTTATTTCTAAATTCTTTGTCATGTGATACTTTATAATACAAGTGATTACCTTCACGAAAAAGAAACAAATTAGTATTTTTTATAGAATGCGATTATTAATAATAAAATTTTATTAAATGTTATTCTTAAAACTTACTGTTAGTATTATTTATTCTATAATTATTTATTTATCAGAGAAACAAGATTGTTAAAACACTATGATAAATTATGTGATACATAATGCTTCATTTTCAGTTCGCTATGTAAGTACAAAATGTAAACAACATGCAAAGTATAAAAGTTTGCTTATACTTCCTCCTTCTCTGTAGCAGATATTGTTTTCCGTATCAAACTGGAAATAATAGAAACATTTCAAATAAAAACAATGTGTGTACTGAAATCAATGCAGAAATACTTCTTGTTTATTTCAAACTTAATACATTTTAAAGTAAACTTATAACTCTATAAGTTAGAATTATAAGCATACAAATGAAATGTAATCGACAAAATTTACATATTTATCCAATTGATAATCTCTTTTCCAATTAAGGAAAACTTCATTTTGAAAACAAAACTTATACAAGCTGCATGATCATTGAGTCAGTTGAATTCCTCTATTGCTCATAGTAGTTTCTTCTTAGAAATTAGAATCACAGTGATATTAAATCGTACACATAGTGCGTAATTTGATAAAACGGAGACTGTATCCTGTCTTCTACATCCATGCTCAATGATTAAATTATTCATGAAGATTATTAATGATGACAGTGTTTTATCACTTTTTAGCTAATTCATTACTCAACCAATCGAGTCCTTCATAAAGTCCATGTCCTTGCGTAGCACAAGTGCTTTGAATATACCAATGGCGTCCACGTAACGAGTTAAGTCCCAATTTATCTGTAAGTTCTGCTGCAGACATGGCATTTGGTAGATCTTGCTTGTTAGCAAAGACCAAGAGGACTGCATCTCGCAGTTCGTCTTCTTTTAACATATTCGCTAATTCACGTTCTGCTTCTCCTATACGTTCTCGATCATTGCTGTCAACAACATAAATGAGACCTTGTGTATTTTGGAAATAATGTCTCCAGAGTGGTCTAATTTTATCTTGACCACCAACATCCCACACTGTGAAACATATATTCCTGTATTCAACAGTTTCTACATTGAAGCCAATGGTAGGTATTGTTGTGACAATTTCACCAAGTTTCAACTTATATAATATAGTAGTCTTTCCAGCAGCATCCAGGCCAACCATTAATATTCTCATTTGCTTTTTACCAAAGAGCCGGGTAAGTACACTGCTGATTGTTAGGCCCATTTTGTTTGGGATGATACCAAACGTCTAAAGCGTTCAATGTAATACTCTTCTATCGATATAAATTTTATTACAGCACTCACTATCGTGTATTATAAATGGTATAACGTATTGCATGGGAAACCAATATTTTAAGAATTCAACGCTGTGGCGACGTTTCTAACGATGTCGTTAACACACCTTACAGACAATAATAGCAAACGTCATCTCACGGTAGATTATTATTCCGGAAATAGTTGGCAAAATTGATCATGCACGCCAACTCTTATTCATATAAAAACACCGAATAGAATATTATACTGAAATTTGGACTTAAACATGTATACACATTAATAAATAGAATTAACAAATTTACTTAAAATTACTTTATCATGAAAACTCATCAGGCACTTTCTTCTGAAATGTGAACAAAGCAAATATAAAGTCCCTCGTAGAGTCAATGTTCTTTGTGCTTACTCAGGCGCGTTATTTAAATGTTACAATGTATGATAATTTAGAAATAAAAGTTACGTAAAAATTAATGCAGATTATTTTTTAATTATAATGCACGATTATTGTGTAGTCAAAGAATACACAAAACTCTTTTCACTTTGTTAAATATTCTTAAGTTTCAATTCTTCTAATATCTTTTTGGTATTACCACAGACAAAGGAAAGAATAGACTTGACATCTTACCGGAATTTTGTGTTCGCTGGTCTGAAATACCGATGGTGTGAAAGAGCAGATGTTCTGTTGTGCCCACAAAAATTCAGAATTGCGAATTTAAGAATTAAAATTATATTACATTTACTTGTAATACATGTGTCAGATCTTATAATTACAATAAATTACTTACATAATTAAAACAGTTTTTTAAATAACAACACAGTCTCTTATTTGGTGACATCATTCGTGCCAGCTGCTTCAATTTGTAGTGGTGTTGGATAAAAATCGGTAACATCGAGCGCGATACCAAAATGGGCCGCGACCATGAAAAAGGAAACATTAATTAGCGACGAGATTGGATGTCCAGTTACCGACTAGAGATAGAGTAGACTGGATATCCAATGTAAATTTTTGTTCTAATTAACTAGAGTTCGCTAGTGTACAAAGACATTTCTTACGGTGTCGATATTTCAGAACAGTAAACTGTTAATAATATTGTATATAATATCTCTACGAATTTTAAAGTAATAGTCGAATTTTCTGGAACTCCTTAAAGATAAATAAAAATCAAGTTTTATTTATTCTACCAACTTGTTGGGATATTTCAAGTTCCTTCAATTTCAAGATCCTTCGAAAGATTTTCTAGATTTAAAGTCGTAAAAATGAAAAGAAGGAAACAGAAGTAGTCTTTGAATGATTAAATCCTTATTTCGATTATAGGGAAGAAAAGGGAGTAAAGTCAAGATGTTGAAATCATTAATTGTTAAATGATATTTTTTAATTGAATAAACACCTTTATTTTAATACTACAAATTTAAATTTCCTTTATTTTCCAAGATAAAGTACAAATAAATATCATTGAATTTCTTTATAAATTTTCTAAAAGAGATGATAGTAAAACGATTGTTTTTCAAAGTGTACCTTCAAGCTGACATAGAATTTTTCTTGGCAGTATTTAAATTCGTTCGTACACTGTACCGTAAATTACAGCATGTTTACCGTTATATTTAATTATTCACGATAAAGAGTCACTGATAAGGGAGTCGCAGATTTGATGTAACTCAACAAGAATATTGTAATTATTGCAATACTGTTTCATAATAAGCAACAATGAACATTTATTCCTCAGGCAGTCGTAACTTGGTATCTTAGGTTTCTTTCGAGACGGACGAAGCCGTGAAGTGGAAACCATAGTGTTTTTTCTCTTTTCGTTGGCCAACGGAAATATTTCTGGGTCGATATACATAATACTCGCAAAAATGCATATTACCTGATTGTCGCCAATTGCATTACGAAATCAGTCATGTATCATAAGACTGCACAAGCTTTTGTACTTCTATCGAAGACTACTTTGCGCCGCTGGTTCGTCAACATGGAGAACACGCCATATACGAATAAACCTGAGTTGTGAGTATTAAATTTTTCTATCACGCTCACTCGATTCATTTTATACAGTATTGAGAACGTATTTATCTAGAGTTATGCTACCGGTTCTGATAACTGCTATTTTCAAAAGTATAAACATACGGAAATTATTGATCTGTTACAATCTTTTTACAATTTGCAATAATTACAGCTGCTGTACTAAAATATTTGAATTCATAAACGTGTACTCTCTTTTTTTTGAAAGGACAACTTTTTTTACCAAATAATCTGCTATTTTCATAACTTTAGTGTTAATTTTATTTTTCTTCTCTTTGGCAGTATCAGACTGTTATATTGGTGAATTAATTTTGAAAATACTTGTCTACACTAATACTTAGTCTTTTTTGTTTATTTACTTATTTATTTAAAGATTTTTTCATTAAATTATACCATAATATCTATAAAAATATGAACTAAATTATAATTGTATTTATTGAATGATAAATTATATTTAAATCCCTATTACTTTTTTTTACTTGTATCCGAAGAAGATCATTCAGTCAACGGATTGAAAAATAACTGTGTATCGTTATTTAATTTAATTTGTTAGTGAAAATTTGAAGCTGCATACAGTTTGTTCGACAACAAGGTGAAGAAAACATTAATGGACGATTCTCCATTACGATATATCAGGTCAATCTATAAATATCATTTTATTTAATATCTCGTCGTCGTGTTTTTTTTCGATCGTTTCCTATCTCTCAAGTAATTTATAGACTTGTACTTCAAAAAATTGCTGCTCTTTCGAATGAAAAAATTGATTCAATTTTCATTTCAAGTGAAAACTTCAGTTAAGTTTTTTATCAGTTAGAAAGTGTTATAATTGTCGGTTCAATGAATGGAAGATAAAGATTTTTGAAAACACTGTATTGGTTGAAATTCTAAATGAGAATTTTCAAATAAATATTGTACTTAGTACCTTTTACTTGATACGGGTTTGTCGTGCGCCTTCGCGACTGACTCGATGTTCGCCTATGTTGGGCGGGTTGCTGTTTGGTCAGGCTCTTAACCGTTAATGAAATAACTAAAGCCGTAACCACAACTTTTTATTCTGAATTTTCGCCTCATACTATCATTAGAAATCATTTTCTAAATTTTCTCTCACTATTTTGTACAAAGTTATTAATTTAAAAAAACGGAACAGAAAAATTCTCCAACTACATATACGGTTCTTCAATTCTATCATTTGCATAATTTAAAGGTAAAATAATATTTAAGAGTTTTAACGATCAATTTTAAATTATTTCAATTAGATGCGTCAGGTTGCCATTTGAAAGTGTGACTTATCTCATTTCGCTTTAAAGCGACGCATTCCTTTCGTGTTTATAATTCTTTTATGCAAATTATAAAGCGAATTTATTGAAATTTCGATCGACATATATTTTAGCTTATGCTTTACCGATACAATTTATGTATATGAATCCAATTCATTTTAATAGATAAAATAGTAATAGAAAAAATCTAAAACGAGTCACTTTGACATATACGTTAGTTCTAGTGTCAAACTTCAAACTGCCGCTTCCTCGAGCAAAATACAACAAGCTATGGTGTGACTATCAGGAAGTTGTTACGGTTCCGTATTTGCACGTTATCGATCGACTGATAATGAACACGGTAATCTCGGGTTATCGTGTACTTTTAAGATAATTACAATGAATAAAGATACACTAAACAACTCGGCGACAAGCGTTCCCTTGCCGTTCAGTCATGCGCGATCATTTTGTTTGCATAATCATCCGTGGAAATTGATCGAAAAAGAAACTGAAATATTTATTGTTTTCTGCGCATTAAGGTCAGCGACACGCTAGATAAAAGTTCCTGGAGTAACATAACCAACGCACCATTCTTGGTATGTCGCCTTAACGTTAAATTCTTTTCAAGCACGCATACAATAATAAGGTGTCTGCGTCGACTCGCAGATAAGAAAACTATTCGGGACAGCGAGTGCATGAGAATTATCGAAAAAAAACATTTATTCCCGCGGAATGATTGCTATGTTAATTAATCAGCTTATTCGATAAGATAAGTGGCTATAATTAGTAAATCTTGAGTCTAGTCCGGTCGGGCTTGTTAGACTCGCGGCTGGGGATACGCCAGTGTTGCGCTTCGGCAAAGTCGTACGAAGACGACAAATAATGATCGGAGACGCGGACATTTCAGAGTTCAAAAGCTATTACGGCGCCCGGATGTTCGCAACTAACTCTCTGATGGCCCCCACATCTAGCACACGTATCCACGGTGTACAGAACTGTTAAGGTGCATACGCAATTGTATTAAAATATTGGAGAAGTGGGCAAATTATTAGGCTCGAGGGAAAAGGAGTCTTTTTGCAATTTGATTACAGTTTCGTTTAGAAAAATGGGAAGAAGGTTGTGGTGAAGGTGGTTATTGCTATTTATTAATTTAAAGCTCGCATAGACTGTAGAATGTTTTGCTCTCCCTTTTTCATTTCTAAACCAGTAGCTGTTTATTATGAGTAGTCATAATTTTTGTATTTTCGAATGTTTGAATATTTATTCTCGTATTGCTTCATTTTTGTTGTATATATTTTTGACTGTTGCATTTGTGTGATATGTCCAAACTTTGAATAAAAATGTTGTTTTAGCATATGTTTGTTTGAAATTGTTTTAATTTGATAATTAAATAATAGAAGGTTGTGTATTAATTATTAAATTAGGATACAAATATTCTTTATCGAACGTGATTTAGAAAATGTTCATTTGTTGTATTTGTTTAAGTATCAAATGTAATGATAATTAATTAAATACCTTTAGAGTTCGAATAATTAAAATTGCTAAGAAAAAACGATGCGTTGAAATGTGTATTATATTCACGATTAAACTAAGCACGTATGTTTATGAAAATTCGCAAATTCAAGGTCTAACTATTAGATATGATAACTGAACAGATATTTCTTTCCTGTGTTGAATGTTTGATAAATTAAAAGTATAACGTACGGCTACATCATTCAAATCTTCTAATATTTTTAGTTACTTGTAATTTACATTAATAATTGCATTCTATTTATCCAAGAATTATGGAACTTACTGTCCTCTATGTTACTCTCGTCATAAGTGTGGATCCACCTTTAACTGTGTTATTCTGCGTGTAGCTTTTAAGGCTAACACGTTCAATTTAGATCAGAAATGAATGACACATTTGATGGATAGTGTGGATGTGTATCGTATCTCGCTACCTGTTGCGTTACAAAATTGATTGTTTTAATATCCATGACCAGAGAAGAACAGAGAATAAAGTCTTGAATCTTCATATCTAGATAAATAATATATTTCATGTAATATAAATGTACTGATTGCTTTTTTCAACGAAATTTTAGCATAATTCCTAAATGCATGTCGACTAGTAAATTCGTTAGAGACCATAAGTCTATTTAGATAAGTTATCAATTTCTCGTTTTGTGCACCTTATCGCTGTTCGAATGAGAAAACTGTAATTTCATGAAACAATTCAGGCACAACAGCGGAACCAGTACTAAACAGAGGGACAAAGGTCACGTGTAGATAAATGATGTAGCGTTGGAAAAAGAATTCTTTTTCATACCTAGTAAAGTCAAACTCCTCGACAAATTTTTGTCGAAAAAATCAATACATCTGTTAATAATAACAAAACAAATCAAACAACAATAAACAATGCGTCATAATTTAACCAAAAAAGCTGGCACTACCACTAACTATTTTCATCTATTACTTCAGCAATTATTTAATCAATCAATAAATTGTATGTATTTCGAATAATCAATAATTCGAGCATAAACATATTAGCGAGTGAAAAATCTAATTTTCAGACAATTTCACGCAATTGCGAATAAAATATCCGAAACATCCAAAATTTCTGACTCACCTTCGCCCCTATTCACGCGTCGGATAATTCTCCAAATGGAGCTATGTACATAGATAATTCATTGGGGACACGTCCGTGAATAAGAGAGGAGAAATTATCAAAGTGATGACTCGATTGTTCGGACAAACAACCGACTTTTCGTAGGTAGACGAAGGGACCCAAAGTCAGCGCGGGTCACAACGCGAGCCAAACAGCTAGCTGAGCTGCCGGGTGGTTAAACGCTGGAGAACTGTGCCAGTGTTACCATCCGACTTGTCAATATCGTTTCATCCGGTGAATCGTCTCGTTCGGTACGTCGCCGATTCGCGTGTTCGTCTTCATCGACGTGGGGAGTGTAGTCGTGGAGGAACAGTGGTTGTTTTCGCTCCGTTTTCGTTGTCTTTATCACTGTGAAGCAAAGTTACGCGAATATCGAAGACATTCGATGAATACATTATAATGTGTACATAGAGGGTATGTCAGAGAGAGATGGCTTATTTTTGTAACCAGTTAACTGTGGAATTTAGTTTGAGAAATCTTTTATTGTGCGCGCAATAAAATTAAATAACAAAGTGTGTACTCGTTGAATGCAGTTAACTGATTAAAAGAACTGTTAAAGAAAGTAAATGCATTAATATATTAATAAAATAGTTGAATCCTCTATGTAAGATTCAGTACGTCGCTAAGGGCAATTGAAAAATAGATATTTGACAGTGTAAATGATCCATCTCAGAATTATCCTGTATATTAAAATATATTCGTCGAATGTCGTTCCAGAAGCAAGAAACGAATTGTCATCATCGAAAGTGAAGTGTTGTGGTGAATCTTTACGATGGCTACGTTTTGAGTGCCGGTCTTCTAATAAAAATGTAACGTCTCCTAACCAACCGTGACTTCTTCATCTATCATCCCCGCCTATGCTTTCCTTATCGTTCCTCAGCCACTCGTAGACCTAGCCGATGACAATCGCGGCTTAAACATTGTTTTTCCATCTGTATCGGAAGACAACAGCATTCGACGTTCAATCTCGTTCGATAAACGATAATCCGTGTCGACGATCGTCCAGTAATCACCAGACTCGACTGCGGCTCACTCCGTCACCTGTCCCCCTGGGAATGTTTTATCAGGCAAGCTACAATCTCACTGAATCGTGCTACTAATATATTAGAAGGATAGCCAGTGCTCACGTGCGCGGGATCGTTGATTGCTTTATAGCTGGTGGGACCGTGTACATAACTTGGTCCCGTGTGGAAAAGTGTTCGCGTTTTCAGATTCGCTCGGTTCGGAGGAGTTCCGCGGGAAGAGTTTAATTCGAAGAGCATTTTGAACGCAGTCTACCGTAACCTTCGCGCTTCGTAAATATGAGAGATCGTTTGAATGGCGTTCGCTCTGTGTTGTATCAGTGTAATCGTTGATAACATCCTTTAACGTGAATGCGTTTCCGAACATTGTCACAAAAGTTTCCTTTCGGCCTTAGTAAAGGTTGTAATGCGTTTATATTGTTGTTATTAGTATTCTTCTTTGTCAATTCTGAAGATAAATATTTTGATTCACCGTTTGACGCCTTGGCACGTATCATTGTTTCCTCGTAAGTTGATGATGATTTCGTTTCTCCGATTTTGAAGCATGTGAATTTAAAGGTTGAAGAGGTTATTTTTTGTGGAATACGTTGAAAATTGTTTTAAAGGAATTATTTGATACGTCTCGATGATAACGCGAAGAAAATTGTGTGTCGCATGTTTATTTAGAGGATTCATTATTGAACAGTGTAACTTTGGACATTCGGCGGTTCATTTTCAAGATGGCGGCTCTCTTGCAGCAGCGTCTTCTGCCAGTGAAGATACGATATTGTTCAATTGTTATTTTCTGACGATGTTATCACCGTAGATATTTATTTTAGAATATTTATTTAGTATCACTGATGCGACCGCAAATCCCATAGATATTATCTACTTGGAAATACGCTATCGAGCGTATTCCGGAATTCCGAAAGCGGGGTGTCTTAATATTTTCATAACACGTTGTAAAGTGTTATAACGAATTAGTCGTTAAGTGAATTATTATTCATGAGTTTCTCTACGGAAATCTTGGAAATAGAAAAAGAAATAAAATTATGTTGCAAACCGCTAAAAATATAATGTTTCAATGTCGAATTCTCGGCATAAGAATTGATAAATTAATAACATTCTTTAAAAAAAAAAAATATTCATTTAAATACAAATTATTCATTTTAACCCTTGAGAAAGAGTACCTTTTTGTCTACCGATTGTTTCTAAGTCTCTAGCGTGAGAGCTGACAGAAAAAAACTCACCATAAATGTATATGCAACGGTAACCGATCAGTTAGTAGGTAGAATCCACACTCGCATGGTGTCCAGAATGGAAAAAAACGTTCAGTGTGTGGCTTTGCCTGCAGGGTCATGGCTGTGAAAGAATGGTTCAGAAGACTGCAGCCAGTCCAGTTGTACCTGGTCCTGTTCTTCACCACCGCCTTCTTCCTCGTCGAGATCATTGCTAGCCATGTGACTCACTCGCTAACGTTACTCCTCAATGCTTACCACATGCTGTGCAATATCATTGCACTTGTTGGTTGCATTGCTTCGATCAAGGTAAGATTGAATCATCGAAATATGTTGTTCACACGGGACACTAATAAACACTAGAACAACCGAGTGTTTAACACGATTAATATGTAATCCTTATAAAAATTGTAACAATAGATTTTTCTTCAGTTTCTTCATACATCAATTACAGTATTGAAGTGAAACTATTTATTTTTCAAATTATTTCGGATATTCAACGTTTATAAGATATTATTAATTGCTAAATAAGAAAACTGGAACTTGTCATATTGACGAGTGAAGTTGTTCTAGTGTTAATTTGCTCATTTTTCCTTAAATAACAAAGCTGTATCCCTTTCGTCCATTTTTTGAGCAATGTTTTTTTCATTACTATTCAAATTAATGGCAAAACGTTAGTGTGTACGTTTACTGCTTTGTTAATTAAATTGTTTAATAAGTTTGTTCATTTTATTATATATTTTGTGGCGATGTTCATTGTGTATATCAACGAGCATATTACACCACTTGATGAAATCTGTTTAGAATTATTCGGCTCTGTTATTTATGAGTGTTATTCCCACGAATTGACTCAATCTTGACTCAATCAATATATTCATGACCAATTATGTCTTAATGGCTCTTTCAACAGACAAAATAGTAATAATATTGCCATTGTTAATTTCGAATTAAGTTCATTTTGTGAACTGATTTTATCGATTTCGTTTGCTAGTGTACTTTACGTTCCGAACCTGTTATCTATTTATCAACGCAAAAATGAAGCAGTATCAAATAGAATCAGAGTTTACGTGTTAACAAGCACGTACAACAAATTGTTTCGCTACTGAGTGCTTTTCTATTGCTATGTTATCCTATGTTTCTGTGATTCGATCAATTTTTCATTGTCTTTATATATAATTTCATGATCCATATTTACATACCAGATTCATTTTTCATTTAATTCATTTCAAATGTCAGACTATTCATACCTTGCAGTACAGTCATCGTCAAAGTGGCACTGACTATATTGGTAACAGCAACTCCAGTTCCTTACGGAATTCCGTGATTTGTATAAACAATGAGGACCGAGCATCTTCGACGTCCTTATCAAATAAAACCAAGGTATTGAAATGGTTTATGAATTTCTTTCAATTCTCTTGTAACTTCAATGTTACCTAATTACATTCAATGACCAGTGTGAAACATAAAACAAATGTTACACTTTTGTGTAATTGTGGAGATAAAAATTCTTTCATAAAGTTGACGCAAGTCAACATTAAAAATCTATAAAAGCACACGGAAATTATTTATGAGCGTCTGTTTATTTAATTCTTTGAAGTAAGAATTTCGAACATTGTTTTCAAAGTTTGTATTTACGTGAAGAAATGTTTTTATTCTCTAGCAATCACGATCAGACAGGAGGATGAAAAATACTTTTGGATGGGCCAGGATCGATGTTCTCACCATGTTGATTTGTTGCGTTTTCCTTGCGTCTTTTTGCTTTTCCCTGCTGGTGGAAGCATTGCAGACTTTAGTGCACATAGACCATCTGGACGAGATGCATCATCCAATGCCTGTTCTAGCAATCGGTGCTTCTGGTATTCTTCTTAACGCGTTTTGCTACATAATGATTGGAGGGTACACTTTCAACCAAGGGATTGTTCTGCACGTTACGGTGAACGGGGATTTGATGTTACGAAGGTAAGGAGAACATTAGAATCGATTAGCGATGTAGAATTTCGTCTAAAATATATAAATATAAAAACAGGATAGAGATAAGAAAAATATTAAAATCAATTATTCAATAAATAAAAATTAAAATTAACGATATAGAATTTCATTAAAATTATAGAAATAAATAGAAAAGAAACTCAAACAGTGCTATTGATTTATTTCCCAATTACATACAACATAAATAAATAAATAAATAAATAAATAAATAAATAAATAAATAAATAAATAAATAAATAAAGTTATATAAAATTCTATTCGTGCAAAATCGAATTAATGTAATTAGAATATCACATTTGCTTCCTAAAAATATAAGTTCTAAAAGAAATCTGCAAATACAAATTGCATATAACAATTACAAATTAAGAACGAAAACAAATAAAAAAGGATTACTGTCATGACTCATCAAGTTAACTTTTACCAAACTTGAATGTCTTCCATTTACTTTTAACTTCCTTTTCATTATCTCATCGTGTTCTTCAACCCCACTTTGCACGGCGACCATATCGTACATCAGCATCCACGATCTGGTTTTAGAAATGTCACTTCTGAACCGGCGAAGGAGGGCGAACAGTTATCTGCTCAAACCAGACGAAGTCCGTTAGGTATACCAAAAAGCCAAGGTTTTCGGGAAACTTGCCGCGATGTGCTCGGCTGCGTTTTTATGATGTTGGTGTCCATCCTCGTTTACTTCACTGACTCCGGCGTCGCCAAATACATCGACCCTCTGTTCGCCATTATTGCCTCCATCTCTCTTTTCGTTCTCAGTTACCCTTACAGTAAGTATTTTCATTTTAACGACCTCCACAGTGGTCAACGATGATAGGAGCTTTCAAATTGTTTGAAAATAATTACAAGAAGATAACTGGTGTTACATGAAATTATTTAGTGACATGAGTAATTAAATAATAGTGTAACTTAAGAACTATGATACCAAACTTTACTATCTAATCCTAATACCATTTGCCTTTGCTACGAAAGAATAAGTAATATACAAAACGCACGAGATTCTTGTGGTGACCAATGTGGTAACCCCTTGTCCTATGATTTTATATTTCTGACGAAGATTGAAAATAAAATTTAACGGATATTATTGTCATTTAATTCTTTCAATAACAAGTCAAATATTATTTTTCTATCAGCAATTGTGTTGCTTTAGAGTAGACGTAAACATAGTATTAGGGTAGAATTTTTTCTTTTAATTCTTTTAATCAATAAATTTTCTTCTATACTTTGACTGAATTTTAATGAATTATTGACAATCGAATATATTTGTCAAGCATAGTTACGAAAGGGATTATAGGGGTTAAAGCTGATTCTGGTTTATATTAACGCAAATTTATTTTTACAGTGAAAGAATCTGGACTGATACTTCTTCAAACGATTCCCAACCATATAAATATCGATTCTCTGAAGAGGGAATTACTCGAAGCTTTCCCAGGCATAGTCAACGTCCATGATTTGCATGTGTGGCAGTTGACAGGACAGAAGATTATATCCACTGTTCACATTATATTTTTGGATCCTATGGTGAGACTTTCTAAGAACGAAATGAAATTTTAAGAAGTGATGCAGAAGCTAAAACGATTTTGTTTCATAGGTGTACGCTAGTATCACCAATCAGGTTACGGAATTTTTCATAGAAATGGGTATAACACAGGTGACCATCCAGCCAGAGTTTCACAAGGTATGTATAATATTATTATGCCCGACCAGTTAAAAATATTAAGTCTTTGTGATTATAAGAATTGAGAAACTTAACAATTTTCTGACACAAAATCAAAATTTAAATGATTATAAATATTCGAAAAATAGTAGAAAAGTAAAAAACCTTAATAATCATTCGATAATTGTTGAAATATTAAATTTACAGTGTTAAGTATTGAATAGTAATAACATGTGTCACTGCATCGTACAAGTTTTACTTATACCACACGTGAATTTTTCAAATAGAATTAATAATACTTTATCAAAGTTTCAAAAGTATTCACATGAAGAAATGAATTTTTACTGAATTCTTTCTTTTCATTAAGCTATGTAAACCTGAGTGTGCGCAATAGTTAGCAATCTATTTATTAAAATAGTAATAATGTTTAGAAAGTTTCTTTAATATTATTTATAAGTATTGGCGTAATTTAAATAAATTTATATAGCGTCATGGTATTAAATACGTGAATGATTATATTTATAATAATGTCATATATTATTATTATTATGGTTGTTATTATTATTATTATTATTATTATTGTTGTTGTTGTTGTTGTTGCTGTTGTTGTTGTTATAGCACAGTTGTTTTTTTAACAGATAAAGCCTAATACGGACAAAACAGGCTGTCTAATTCGCTGTCACGGTGGACATTGCAGTTCTTCCCAGTGTTGCTCGAAGGAAAAGTTTATAGAGGACTCGTGTTCGCACGTCCCAATGGAGCAAGCGTTGCCAATAACCAAAAAATCGGACAAAAAGGAAATTATTTCAGTTCCGTCGGTGGTCGATTTAAAGGGATTCACCGTTCACGACGATGTGGCGTTACGATCACCTAGGGACAACATCATGGACAGAATCGCGAGTCGGTCGAACGATGGAAGGGCAGAAGATAACAAAGATAACGCGTACGATAGTTCCTATGCGATAAACGTGGACGTTAGTAATCAAAAATGCAGTACCAGTCGTAGCACTGAAATAGAATCGTAACGTTAAGACAATAATTAAACAAACGATAGTATTTTTATATCATTATATATTTTTAACAAGAAATGATTGTTTCGAACGAATAACGGAGTAACAAGATTTCATTGAAATAATTGACAATCGAAGAATTTACTAACGTGAAAATTAGAAAGTAAATATCAATTTAGAGTTTGTTAGATAGTTGTGTCTTTTTCAATCATTGACTTCTCTCTTTTGTTATAACATCTACTTTTTACTGTGACGAAATGTTCACGGTAAATGAGTTTAATAATTATATAGTATTAAGCAATAACGTATTTGTTATGGCATATAAAAATAATAATGAATGTTGTTTATTTCTTAGTTCCTTGAGACGGATATTTGAATAATTTTATATATAGACATTGTTTATAATGAATGATTCTTTATTAGATTTAATGGGATAGAGCAAGTGAAACATAAAGTCTGTAACTTGAATATGTGCTGTTACTTTTTTTAAAAGTACTCTGCTTCCTTTTTTACGTGTGATTATATTTTAATGGAAAAGACTGGAAACTCACGAAAAAAACGCTCCAATAACTTGTATGTACAAATAATACAGATAAGCCCACTTTTAACAAACTTTTTTAACAATGGAATATACACCGCAGTGCGCATTTCGATGTGCTGCAGGCTGTGACTCGGAAAATGTTTTTCAACTGTTCGTGCGAATTTTACGAATAATTTTATACCGGATTTAATACTGAATAGTTAATAGTGAAATAGATAATACTGTACGTATACATGCGTCATTTAATGTACAAAAACCGTTTTATAAAGAAATGAATATTAAAACACAGTTCTCCTCTACTTCCCTATACAAGACTGTAATGAAATTAACAAAAATATTATATTAGAAGTACAAAAAGTAGTAAACAATTTTCTGCAAATCTTCGGCAATTTATATTGTATTAACCCCTTGCTCTATAATTTATTTCTTAACTATGATCGAGATACAACTATTTCATCGTTAATAATTTATTAGGAAAACAAAAAATGTTCATGTTTATTCTAGGTTTACTTTAAAGGTTAACGATTGATAATACAAAAATAATATTTAAGTTTTATTTGAAAACAATAAATAATACTTAGATTTTTCAAATGAATGTTTAAAATGTTCGTCACGAAACCGACACGATATTGTAGGTCAAGGGGTCAAACTTAATTTTACGAGGAAAAATCATATCATTTTTAAAATGATAAATTGGTTCACCTCCGATCATTAAGAACGATTAATTCATAAATTGGCATTATTTAAAAATCATAGTTACGAATTTCAGATATCTCGGGAACCGTGTTACTAATTGTAAGAGTATTATTGATTCTCGATTCCGGATGTATACAAATTTTACGTTACGAATGTAAACTGACGGTTGAAAAGGGAAAGGTAGCGATAGACGTTCCACTCCAGAAATATCTAGTCTATTTACCTTGAGAAGGTCTACACTCTAGTTTTAAACTACTACCGCAAGTGTTTGCGTCGTTCAGCGATGAAACGCAGAATAAGGAAGCTGACATAACAACAAATATTATAAAATTTTGAATATAGCAAGTTTGTTTTATAATCTTATTTCGTGCTGCGGAGAAACGGTAACATAATTACACCTGATCCTCGATTTACGCGAAAATCCGTTCCACGTGGATTTGTTTTACGCGAACGAAAATCGCGTAAACAGAGTCTGTCGGTACAAGAGAAAATAAAATATTGAGGAGAAAAGCTGGTGTAAGTTTTAAAAATACATATTTATTTCACGTAGTTTAACAAAAGAAATGATAATACTGACATTTTAGAAAACAAAAGTATATTTTATTCGCTGTTACTAAATTTAGATTGCGTAAATTGAGATCGCGCGTAAAAACTATCGCGTAAATAGTGTTCCAATTTACCGCGTAAAGAAGAGGCTCGCGTGAAAAAAGTCCGCGTAAGTCGAGGGTCAGGTGTATTCTAACAGTAGATTTTCCTGGGCAACGTGTTTACATTTTCTTATGACTTTACTTCCATAATTACTAAACTCAAATTTCTCTTTTTCAGTAACACCTACAAAAAATGTTTTTAATTCGTTTAACAACACTATCGTTTTTAATTTCTATAATACATAGCAGCTAGCAGAGTGTAATAATTAATTGGTATATTTTTTATACTCAGTCTTTGATCCTTCGAAAATTTGTTACAGTTGATTCAATGCACACTGCTGTTTTCTTGCAATATGTATAAAGCATTAAAGTATGCAAAACGAAAAATATGTTTTCAGAACAATCTACTAACCAAATAAACTTTTCAGTAAGTCTTTATAAAAGCGTGTAATTGCACAAACATTCAGCGTCTAAATAAAGTCTACATCATTACTCAACTGTTCATCCTTCGAAAATTTCTTCGGGCCGATTCAACGCACCTTGCATTTTTCTTGGAAAGTAAATAAACATCTCTTTCAAACAATCTACCGATAAACATCCGTATAAGTCAGTTTGTTATGTGTTTCCCTTATTAATTACACTATGGACCACGATTCTTGTTTTTTAATAGCCACTAGGTGATCCTTATAGAGTTCCTTACCCTAAATACAAATCCGAAAACCAACTTGCTGGGTTACGTCCAGTTTTCGAAAAAATGGGTTTTCGTAAAAACGGTTGAATTTTTCAGAGAAACAAGTGTTACGTGAAAACTAAAAATGACAGGTAGTTCAAATTCGCCGTAAAAAATAGAGGAGAGTTGCCCGAATATGTAGCTATAAATCTTTTGAATATTGCGTATCATGAAATGTTTGTAAATGATGATCAAAGTTTAAGAAAGGGTAAATGAGCGTACTTTGTACCCACCTCTGTTACATTTCTACAAAAAGTGGGTTGGCTAGTACGAATTTGCTATGCTATTGGATTCACTATTGGATTCTGCAGACATTTCTAAAGAGGAATCCCCACCACGGGAAGCGTGGAAACGGTTTTTCTTTCGGACAGATTAAGAAAATCTCCGTGAAGAGCGCATGCACAAAACTTTAGCGCCACACGGCCATCACTCGCCGGCCACAGCAATTCAGGGCCGTAACTACGTGCTGTATAGACCTGGTCACTTCTTATATGTATATATAATGTTTAATTATTTTATGAATTTACGTAATAGTTATGAGAAAGCTTTTCACAATCGCTCTTTAAATAATTTGCTGTTTAATATATGAATACACATGTACAAGTAATATTATTACGATGATTAAGACTAAAACTATCGAATCAGACAAGATGGCCGATATAAATTTTATTACCTTTCTATTATATTAGTAGGTTGAAAGTATTAGATATCTGAAATGTTTTTAAAAATTAATTAAGTTCAGGGACTGTGGCGAGCGATGGCCGTGAGATGTTCACAGAGATTTTCTTAATCTGTTCGAAAGAAAAACCGTTTCCGCGCTTCCCGTGGTGGGGATTCCTCTTTAGAAATGTCTGCAGAATCCAATAGTGTTGTTCGTAGAAATGTAACAGAAGTGCGATGAAAGTACGCGCATTTACCCACTTTTAAACTTTGATCATCATTTACAAAGATTTAATGATATGCAATATTCAAAAGTTTTATAATTACATATTTGGGAAACTCTGCTCTATTTTTTACGACGAATTTGAATTACCTATCGTTTTTAGTTTTCACGTAACACTTGTTTCTCTGAAAAATTCGACTGTTTTTACGAAAACCCATTTTTTTCGAAAATTGGACGTGACCCAGCAATTTGATTTTCGTATTCGTATTTAGGGTAAGGCGCTCGTGAATGTAGAATTCAGTGTAGTAGTAGCAAAAGTTTTTCGCGATTATCTCGAAAACTAATGCCTTTCGTCGACGACATGTAAAGGAAAAAGTTGTTCTACATCATGCCCTCAACAGCATATTCGAAAATCATCAAAATCGGAGCGGACTAAGCACATCGACAATATTACCGAACAAGTACCAAACGCTCTTGTCCAAATAAATGATCACCGACAAAGTACGTAGCTTTATCGAGCCTAGTCACGAAAAAAAACGCAATAACCGAGCGATGAAGGTTCCACGGATCGCATCAAGTAGCGAGTAGAATCAAGGTGACGTCGTCGCCGATAAGTTAAGTCGGGGAATCGCCGGGTGGGGCATGGCTCGTGGAAGTGCAGCCGTAACTCGTTCGTTCAGTTGAGAGAGTTCGGTAGAACGGTCGTAGTAGCGTTGCCGTGGCGTGACGCTCTTCCCGAACGCGTTTCCACGTGAACAATGCCGTTCCCGAGCACCTTATCATACATGTAAAAAGTTCGCGGACGGCAGTGACAATACCAGTGTGCAGGGAACAAGAGAAAAAGAAAAGAGGACCTGGACAAAATGTTGGGGCCCCTCCTCGTCGTCGTTCTTCTCTCTCAGTTTCACAGAGGTAATTATAGTTTTACCTGTCACCGATTCACCTTCGGCCCATGAACCACTACTCGGCGAAGCGTCACCATCACGTGGCCACCATTGAGTCACGGCTGCCAGGTACGAAGAAACAGGTTTTTTTTCTGACTCCGGCTCGTACGAGGCGACTTCTGTTACGCGCATCGAGAGACTCTCATTGTATCGAAATGCCACTGCACGCACGTTCTTCTCCAGCCTTTGGTGTCGCAGCACTTTGGTCCTTGACACTTCACCTTTTTAGTTGAGATTCGCACGCCGTTGAGATGCAGAATTCAATTGGAACGATGGCATTGAGAGACGAGAATAATCTACTCCAATTTTTTGGAGTTGATGGACCTGATTTTGGGATATGTACCGTGGCAGTTTGTTGTTTTATGTTATTCTTTACGTTCTAAGTTTTTACTTTGGATTGAAGGTACTCGGAGGTTTCAATGCGAAGTTTGATTTTAGAAATGTTTATGAATTATGTAATGCCAAGCGTACCGTGTTACAGTTCATTATCTTTGATTTTTAAACATTACGAGTAACTTTCGATGGCAGTAAGCATCGTTCTGTTTTCAATGGCACTTTTCGGAATTGTATCGGTCGATACTTGATTTAGACTTGCTGTCATGTAATGATACGTTTTATTAGATATCTCATAAACCGCGAGTTTCTGTTTAAAAGTTGAGTTTAGTGCTCTTATTATCCTTAGTCATTGTAATGTAAAAGTGTCATAGTATAAAGTTCAAATATATTTATTTTATTACGATTAATTTGATTTTTTTTTGTATCAAGTTAAGTAACTTCCAATTTTCTCTTAAGCCTCGTATTATATACGAGAGTAAAGTTCATTATTTATTAAAATACGAATGGTTGTAACTTCGATTGTATTGTGAAATTTTTATTTGAGTTCGTTGCAAGGCAATAGTGTCAAACCTTCCTTTGTTACTCACTGTTAATTAGTTATATCGGCAACGAGAGGCGAGTGCCAAACTCGAATTTCATGTGAATCATTTCGGAATGCAATTACCTGTGTCCGCGATTGTTGATTTTACATTTTTTAGAGAAAGAGAGGAGTACGTAAAGTTTCTTCGTTACAGCGCGCAAGAATCATGCGTGCTGCATTTGAGGGACATTAATTGTTTCAGCGGTACATGGCGGTACATACGCGTCGGCACTGTAGAGTGCTGCAGAATAAACGCTCATGCGCGTTCTTCTAGTTTGCTTCCATTTATTATTGCTATTTCTTTCGAATGCTAAATTTAAAAAATTGTACTATAGGAGTCTCTCAAAAGTCAATGCTTAGAAAACAAAAATTGAGAAAATTAATGTTTTGGCTTCTGAAATTATTATACAAGATATTCAGAAGCTATATAATGAAGGGCTATCTGACCTAGAAAAATCGAAGAAACAAGCCAATCCTTTAAGAACTAAAAAGAATATTATTTGTTCCATTGAAATTGACAAAACTCAGAAAATATCATACAGTAAACTTAACCGCATTGGTTTCTGTGCGATTCATGTATCAACATTGGAAAAGAAATGTTATAAGAGACTAAAGAGTACCATTAAAAGGACTGTTACATTGATGATACACTTATTGACCCCTCAAATTCGATTGCCTATCGTTTCTCTTCTTTTTAGTTTATGTGATTGTAATCGATTGCTTCTCAATGGTATATCAGTTACCAATGGTGGATAGATGAAAGTTTAAGAGGCTAACGACGGTGAAAAGGTGTTGTAAGTTTATAGTGTGGAAATCTAATTTGCAATAGCAAAGAAGTTATAATATATAAAAAATAATCAAAGCAACTAATGAAACAATTGGTTTATACACTTTAC